CGGATGGTGAAAATACTGTTCAGTTGGCAAAGTGACACCCTCAGTTCACAAACTCTATCCTCTTGCTGTCTGTGAGCAAAAGAATGATGCCATAGTTGAGATGGGTAGTTGAGATTATCGGCCAGTGGCTTGGTGTCAGGAGTTATATGGAGTCTTTTGGGGGTGTGTGGATGTTAGTAATGTTGGTATGGTTGTTGAAGAAGTTAACAAACGCCTGAAGTTGTGGTTTTGCAAATGGATGCAAAACCAACACGCGCCCCTTTCCTCCCTCCTATAAATTATGCCGTTGCCCGAGGTTAGTTGCTACTCAAAACATGTTTTCGTAGGGACGTATTGCCAAGCAAGTACCAAGTGTGGCAATTAACATGGGTACAAAGTGCACACTTATTTATTAAGGTCACAAGCGTCTTTAAAATCCAGATCACTGCAAACCTGTGCTCCAACATCTTTATACCTTTCTTTCTTGACATTTCTCTTTCTTCCTCACTCTGCTCTGCTCTGGAGGGATGGGCAGGGTCTAAGTGCTGCCATTTATTTTCCAGCAGGGATGATGATGATGATGATGATGATGATGTCCTCTGCCCCGGGACACTGTTTGCCAGTTCTCTGCATGCCAGATAAACAGGCCTTTCTCAGAGAGAAACCCAGTAGGCGAGCTGAAGAGGGAAATAGATTACATTCCCATGCATGCCTAAGAGTTGAACGGCCAGCCTTATTTTGGAAAATCCCCAAATCCATTTTTTATAACCAACCAAAATATCTCAAAATAGCAAGCAAGCTTTTGAATTCACCAGAGATCTTTGCGAGGATAAATAATATCCAAATAATATCGTTGGGGACGACATGCTTTGTGTTGAAAGTTACAATTTTCTGCATTGGTCAAAAGTTTGTTTTTGTTGTATAGCCCTAGAGCAGGGTTTGAGAACACTTTTTCAGCTGAAGATGGGAACTGGAAAGCCAGGGGAAGGATAATGGAATCCAGTCTCCTGGGAGAGATGGTTGGCTGTAACACTGCAATATTTTGTTGCAGCATCCTACTTCCGTCTTCCTGCTTCTTGGTTTTAAAGAACAATCCTTCAACAAATGGGAGACCCTTTGCACATGGGCGCTGTTTGCATAGTCAAAGTTAATAAAACCATGATTTTGTAAATTCTTTATCGCAAGTGCTATTTAATCTTGCCCGACAAGACTTAATGGCCCTAACCAGCCAATAAATTATCTTAAGGCGATGTCAAGGATGAGGGCACAGTGGGAGAGAAAGAAAATAAGAGTCATCTTGGTAGTGCCAGCGTTCCACCTTGTGCCTGGCACAGCCAGGCCTCACTTGTCAGATGAACTTGCTTTGTACATTAATTAGTAAGTTATTAACTCATTGCTGCAAACACCTGTTTTCAGTCGACTAGGCAGCAGGATGGCAGGGAGCAATGTCTCCTCATCACTGTGCTTCAGGAAGTGCCGTTTCCATGACTCTCCTTTGCAAAATACTACAGCCAATAGGGGTGATTTAAGATGCCCAAATTTTAAGCTCAGCTAAACCACTGAGTCTCTTGGGCTTGCTGATCAGAAGGTTGGCGGTTCAAATCCCTGCAATGGAGTGAGCTCCTGTTGCTCTGTCCCAGCTCCTACCAACCTAGCAGTTCGAACAAGTAGATAAATAGGTACCGCTGTGGCGGGAAGGTAAACGGCGTTCCCTTGTGCTCTGGTTTCCGTCACGGTGTTCCGTTGCTCCAGAAGCGGTTTAGTCATGCTGGCTACATGACCTGGAAAGCTGTCTGTGGACAAACGCCGGCTCCCTTGGCCTGAAAGTGAATTGAGCGCCGCAACCCAAGAGTCGCCTTTGACTGGTCTTAACCGTCCAGGGGTCCTTTACCTTTACCTAGTCTGTTAGGGAGAAATATGTAATATCACCCAAGCTCCTAACTGCCTTTTGAAAAAAGTATCAACATGTCCAGTTGGTAATGCTTTGTTGTTGTTGTTACAAATAAGGTGCCATCTCATTTTGTTCAATTGGACTTACCGTATTTTTCGCTCTATAAAACGCACCAGACCACAAGACGCACCTAGTTTTTGGAGGAGGAAAACAAGAAAAAAAATATTCTGAATCTAAGAAGCCAGAACAGCAAGAGGGATCGCTGTGCAGTGAAAGCAGCAATCCCTCTTGCTGTTCTGGCTTCTGGGATAGCTGCACAGCCTGCATTCGCTCCATAAGACGCACACACATTTCCCCTTACTTTTTAGGAAGGAAAAAGTGAGTCTTATAGAGCAAAAAATACGGTACTTCCATATGCCTGCATAGCTTTCCAACCTGAAACTTGCCCAAGGCTGCTCAGTGAGTTTCATGGCCAAGTGCTAGGCATTTGAACCCAGGTCTACATCTCCAGTTCTTATGCATCACACCACCCTGCCTCCACTCCGTTATCCTTGGGACAAGAGCTAGGGCTCATTTTATGGGCTTTCCCTGTTTGAAGTCAATGACCATTGTTTCATCAAAGAGAGGCACAGCCTGTACCTACTGCGAAAATAAAGTCGTCACTTAATTTGTTTCTAAGTGTCCCCATCTGTGGGAGAGCTATGGATGAATCTGTTCCCCTAAACCATTTAGAATATTTGCTGCCCACTATCGTGGAAATTTGCCAACAATCTTGTTCCTTCCAAATAGGTACCAGCAGAATTAGTTAAAGCATGCCTAGGAGAATCCCTGTTAAGGAAGCAGTGATGGGTAATAAATGTTTATGAGAGCTGACGATTGCAAGAAGTGTAAGGACATACGAAGAGCCTGACTGCCAGATTCAGGCCATAGGCTCTTCTCACAGTAGCCAACCAGAAGCCCATGGGAAGCCCACAAGCCAGACATGAGCACAATAGTCCTTTCCCTGCTTGTGATCTCTAGTAAGCAGCACCAACAATGGAGGCAGAATATAGCCATTGTGACTAGTAGCCATTGATAGCCTTTTCCTCCTAAAAGGTAAGGGGAAATATCTGTGCGTCTTATGGAGCGAATGTGTGGTCCCTGGAGCTGAATTGCCCAGGGGCAAAAAGCAGATCGTGCTCTTTTTTTTTTTTTTTTTAGAAAGAGGGAAGGGACTGTGGAAACAAAGCCGCTGAGCAGCTGATCGGCAAGCGATAGGGAGGGAGATAAGGGACGCTAGCGATAAAGGAGGCTGCCTGGGAGGGGGGAGGTAAAAGCACATGGATCCTCAGGATTTTTGCATTGGGTCACCCCAAATTCACCATCAGATCACATAGCATGTCCATGGCTACAGCCTGCACCAAAAAATCACTCATCCACTGTTGTGTGGGGCCTCAATGGCACAAAAACATGGTTACAAAGCACGGATCCAAATGGATCCCCAGGATTTTTGCATTGGGCTACCCCAAACTCACCATCAAATCACATATCATGTCTGTGGCCACAGCATGAACCACAAAAATCATACATCCAGTGTTTCGTTCAGAATATTATTTTTTTCTTGTTTTCCTCCTCTAAAAACTAGGTGCGTCTTCTGGTCAGGTGTATCTTATGGAGCGAAAAATACGGTAATCCTCACTGGCTTGATGCAGTGAGTAGCTCCTCTTACAGCCTGCACTAGAGACTATATTAATGGCACATTTTTATCCTGCCCTTCCTGTAAAGACTAGAATAAAAGCTGGAATGTGTGCAGAGTAGGGCGGCCAAGATGATCCAGGGTCTGGAAACCAAGCCTTATGAGGAACAGTTGAAGGAGCTGGGTATGTTTAGCCTGGAAAAGAGGAGACTGAGAGGAGATATGGCAGACGTCTTCAAATATCTCAAGGGATGTCACATGGAAGAAGGTGCAAGCTTGTTTTCTCCTGCCCTGGAGGGTAGGAATCGAACCAATGGCTTCAAGTTACGAGAAAGGATATTCTGACTAAACATCAGGAATAACTTTCTGACCGTAAGAGTCATTCGACAGTGGAACAGTCTCCCTCGGGAGGTTGTGGGCTCTCCTTCCTTGGAGGTTTTTAAGCAGAGGCTGCATGGCCATCTGCCATGGATGCTTTAGCTGAGATTACTGCAATGCAAAGGGGTTGGACTAAATGACTCTCAGAGCCCCTTCCAACTCTACAATCATATTGATTCTGTGAAAAGCCACCCAAATTGGTGGCCCTCTAAGATTGTAGGCCATTGGTGGCACATTGGCCATTTTTGTTAGTTTTTAGTTTCCTGGTCTTCTCAACGGTTTGGGGTAGCTCATGAAAGATACGTTTTATCCTCGTTGCCAGTTTGCAAGCGTTCTCGAAAATAGATGCCAAAACCCAAGAAGCCCCTTGGTGTATTTGCTCAGTAAGGGTTGCTGATGCGCAGAGAGAAGCTTTTCAGGTTTTTCCTCTAACACCGCCTTGCCTCTCCCAGCCGCTGATGCTCACGGTTCACAGGAAGAGGAAGTCAAATAATGAGCAACTGACTCACCTCCCATTGACAGAGTCAGCGCTGTGCCAAAAGGAGAGAGATTTCTATATGGAGTACGTTCCTGTGTGGAAGAGCTGTTAGTCATGGAGATGACTGGAGGGAAGGTGAACTTCGGCTCGGTTCCAAGAGGTGCCAAAGATCTAGTTCTAGTACAAAGTGTAAAGAGTAGTCACACTGGTTGGGAGCAGCGGCTGTAGTGCTATTGAGTTCAACAGAAATGAAGGGGTTGGCTAACTGTAAGTTGAAGAGGGTCATGTCTCTCTAGGAGCTATTACAACATTTTTTTACAAGAAAGATGATACCCACAACTGCATAGGATAGTTGCTGTGGTCTCACTGTGCGACCAACACAGGCTTGAGCCTTTCTAGGGATTGGGGCAGGTATTCAGACCCTTTAAGTGAGGGATTCTACAATCAAGTGGAATATAAATTTTATGAAATCAGTAAAAATAAGTATCACCCAGGATTAACAACGCGGTTTATTTGCGGAGAAATTAAGTGTGCAATGAATGTGATTAGGACCTCCTAAACCCAAGGATACTCAAGGTTGTGCTTTCCAGATGTTGTTGGACTGATCCCCTCTGATAGCTCAGTCGGTAGAGCATGAGAGTCTTAATCTCCGGGTTGTGGGTTCAAGCCCCACATTGGGCAAAAGACTAGATAACCCTTGTGGTCCCTTCCAATAGTATAATTCTAGGATTCTCTGCAGCTTCTTGGCTGTTGGACCTGTTGGCGGGTGTTGATAGGAGTTAGTGGAAATTGTTCAGTTTGGTTGTGTACTTTTTGATGTTTATTACTACTTTTGTTATATTTGTAGTTATGGAATTTGAGCATGGTTTTAACTTTGGAAAGGTGGCATACAAATAAAATGATTGATTGATTGATTGACTGATTGACTCTACACCCCTTGGTCTTAAACCCATTCCCACCCAACCAGTTCCCTCTACTCTCTCCCTTCTCCATCTTCCAGTTTACAATAATCCCTCCACCCCCCCAACAGTTAGGCCATGCTCCTTTCAGTTGCTTCCTCCCACATAGCATTCTGCGCTGCAGGCTCCCTGCTCTGCCCCAAACACAAACATAAAACATGGTTTGTTAGATAGGCATCCCCTGTGGTGCTATCCCACATGGTTATATTATATGTGCGAATCCTGTAGCCATCTGGCTAGAGCTGACTGCAGAGGTCTTCCCCAGCCAACCTAACCATCTGGTGGGAAAGGGGTTTAGAATATTTACACATATACCACAACCCTGATCTTTGTGGTGCTACAGGTCTGTGTGCGCACAGGTGTACACGAAGCAGGCCACAAAGGGGTGATATTTGGTCCACTGTGATACAAAACACACCTTAGGTTAATTGGCGAAGGGGTATTATGCATCGTCTTTCTCTTTGCCAGTTTGTTTGTTTTTTAAATAAACAATTAATAGAAGAGCTTAGGGAGACAAACGGATGCTTGTCGGTTTTTGAGGATCATCCTGACAGCAACAGACATTAAAATGTAGGTTGCTTCAGCTAGGCACATCTCAAATGGCTTTGCGTCTTATTATCCCCCAACCCCCGGAAAATGCAGCACCGTTACGTAAGTTCATGGTACGGCTGAGTCTCACGTCTGAAGCATTATTGGCCTGAATCAGAATTGGTATTCCACATGCTTCAGGGATGCATTGCATTGTGTCTCTTCCCTCTCCTGTTAAAGGTAAAGGTAAAGGGACCCCTGACCATTAGGTCCAGTCGTGGCCGACTCTGGGGTTGCGGCGCTCATCTCGCTTTATTGGCCAAGGGAGCCGGCGTACAGCTTCCGGGTCATGTGGCCAGCATGACTAAGCTGCTTCTGGCGAACCAGAGCAGCACACGGAAGCACCGTTTACCTTCCCGCCAGAGCAGTACCTATTTATCTACTTGCACTTTTGTGCTTTCGAACTGCTAGGTTGGCAGGAGCAGGGACCGAGCAACGGGAGCTCACCCCGTCGTGGGGATTTGAACCGCCGACCTTCTGATCCACAAGTCCTAGGCTCTGCAGTTTAACCCACAGCACCACCCGCGTCCCTGAGCGTGGGCATTCAGAGATTAGGGTTGGCGGTGCTGGTAAGGGCCTTTCACTGCTGCAAGGACCAGCCCTGTGCTGTCCTTACCTGTGATCAGGAATCCTGATTCAACCAGCGCCACTGATTCATGTGTAGAAGCCCTACCAGTTGTGTGCACATAGGGGCCCATTCTCACCTTTGGTTCCAGCGCATGGAAGTTGGGAGCAAAGCCCTAGTCCACTCTGCAACATCGCATGCAGGCGAGAGCGAAGCTAAAAAGGTTTTCTTATGCTTGCTTGTGCTGTGGCTTGGGTAACCACAAACGCAGGCAACATCCAATTTACGTGGGAGTTATGTTCTGCACCTCTGCGTGTCCAACCAAAATGGTGTACTGTATATTTGGAGCACCCTGGAGAGGGCGAGGAGACCCTCCCCAGACCCCAAAAAGGATGTCTTCTTAGGGATCTGGGGAGGGTCCTCTTGTGAGCCAGGGGCGAAGCGAGACTTTGCTGAGGCCTCCCCCCCAACAGCTGGCATGTGGGGTAGCGCAGCAGCAGCCGCTTCCCTGCGCCCCACTGTCCCTCTGTCTCATGCGAACCGGAGGGACAGCATGGCTCCCTTGACCGGAAGCTTCCAGAGCAAGCCAGAGGGATAATGGGCCTTGCACAGGTGATGCATGGGGAAGCAGCTGTTGCAGCCGTGCTACCTTGCATATCAGCTCTCCTCTTCAAGTTCTGGGAAGGGTCTCCTCGCAAGCCAGCAGGACTGCCCTGGCTTCGTCCCTGTCCCCGTCCCCCCCCCCGCTTCTGGGTTCCCAACACCACATGTGTGTGTGGTCACACGCAAATGCAGCATGCATAAATGGACGGTTTCCTGTACAAAAATTGATCATTATGTAGCCAATGGCGGACAACATATTGAGGCTGGGAACGGTGAATGTCAGCATGTGGTTCCATGCATAATCCCAAAGGCTTCCCGCTTAAGCTGTGATCAAATTGCTTCGCTCTTTTCCTGGGAAAGGAAAAACATGAGAGCTATGCATGTAATGAACTAATTACCCTGTTCTTTGCTTACAACCTGTTTCCTTTAATTAACCTTACGCCCCTGTTTAGCGGCTTGTCCGATGATCTGGGAGCATTCAGTTCCCACAAACAACCAAAAATCCCCTCTGGGCAGTCATCATTGAAGAAAACTCATCAGTTTAAAACTGCTTTGGGCTGCATAATGTTGACGTGCCTTTGAGATTGCATAATACTCGCCAGGCAGGAACAATGCAGTGTAAATAAAAGTGGAAGAAAAGACCCACAGATAGTTAAAGGAACGAGGAACAGATTCTTCCTGCATCCCATTCAGTTTTGTCACTCCTGAGACAGCAGTGCTTTTGACGAGTGAGGTCACCGCTCTGCTGCCCTTCAACATGTGGCAATGTTATTATTTTGACCCCACAGGCAGAATCTATGGGGATACATTGCAATATGGGGGCATAGAGAAGCCAGTGTACATGACAAATCTGAAGAATCATGAATTGTGCAGGCTGTTTATGTTAGCCAGATTTAATATGTTTCTCTCGATGATAGTAAGAGGAAGATATTTAGCTCTCCCAGAATCAGAGCGTCTCTGCAAATGTAGTAAACAGGAACCTGATACTTTGGAGCATATTTTCTTTTCTTGTGATTTTGGCATTTATGCCAGAAGACAATTATTAGAGAAATGCTTCTGGGAGATGATATATAATGAGATGAAAAAAAAGTTGAAATATACATTTATAAAGAAACCAGAAGCATTTTTACTGGGCATTGTTGGGAGTGATATAAATAGAAAGGAATATAAGCTCTTTTTATATGCAATAACAGCAACAAGAATATTACTGGCCCAAAAATGGAAGCAAGAAGAATTACCGACGATTGAAGAATGGAGGATGAAGTTAATGGACTATGCAGAACTAGATAAACTAACAGGAAGGATTCGAAACCGGTGGGACCAGAAATTCACAGAAGACTGGAGTAAATTTACGGACTATTTGAAAAGTATTTGTGAAGATCACACAATGTTTGTAGATTTGCAAGAAGTTTTGTGAGGAGTATTATTGGAAGTATTGCAAAAATGGAGAAGGGGAAGGATGATTTGTTAAGAGATGTAAAGGCAATATAAAGTTAAGAAATGCATAAGAAGTGGTTAAAACGGTGGATCATCAGATGTGCTGATGGAAGTCTAAAAAGATTGTATAAGTTTTGTGGTACATATTATAATTTTATGTTAAAATCAATAAAAACTATTAAAAAGGAGAAGAAGACAATTATTAAAGGTCTTCCAACACAATAGGCTCAGTTCTATGCTACCAGGTTCAGGACCTGCTCTCGGACAGGAATGATCAAATTACTTTAATAGTGGCTGAATTTTTGAGTGCTGTCCATGTAGAAAGACTGGGTCATTATAAAGAGATTTAGTGGTTCTTAATTGATTGGTGATGTGGTATTGTTGCATTGTATTATTTATGCAAATTGATTTTCTCTGGAGTTAAAGATCTGACTGGGACAAACCTTGTTATGTTGAGCTCGTATTTTGCACAATTTGTATACAGTGTCTGTTTGATAATGTGTGGTTTGCTATGCCTAATAAAGGATATATTTGGATTTGGGAAGCCACTGTGGTTTAGTGGTTAGAGTGCTGGACTAGGATCTGGGAGACCAGGGTTCAAATCCCTACTCAGCCACGAAGCTCAGTTCCCTTTTGCCTCGCCCTGCCCCACACATTTGGGTTGGGAAGCCAGAAGACAGCAGCACTGCCCTTCCTGTGCTGCCCCACTCCTGGCCCTGTGTCTGCAGCCGGAACAACTTTTGCTCGTCTCTACAGCCCTATAGGATGCATGAAGCCCTGTGCAACTTGAAAACTCAAAAGCAATCGAAGTTGCTTCAATAAAGGATACTGCTATCATTGGTTATTTGGCTCCAGGGCAAAAAGACTTAACCCTGGCGCTTTGAGAAATGTCAAGAGCTTTATTACTTTTGCAATTACGCTGCCTGCAAGAAGACCAGCACATATATGAAAGTCAGACTTGACATAAGAAATCTCTTGGGCTTTGTCCTCAAGCTTAATGGGTGAAGCAACTCAGTTCCTACGACTACGACTGAGGCACATGACTTGGTGTGAAAGACTGCTGATCTGTTGTACAAAAGGAGGATATTGCTTCCTGGGGTTCATCCAGTTCACTCAAGCTTGTGTCATATTGTTGTTTCCATCTGCCTTGAGTTTTCCCTGGTATTGCTCTGTACAACAATGCTTTTTATGTATATTAAATATCTTACGATATTTGCACCTCCCATTTCTGATGGGCTGTACCAGGTGTGTAATTCCAACCCTCCCACAAAATGATGCTTCCTACAAATGCCAGGCTGATTCATTCATATAATTAGCTGTGCATTTCTCTCTCTTTTATTGGAATATGCATAGAATGAGCTTGCAATAAGGCATTTTGGGTGAAATGAGTGTGCCCGAATGAGCCTTTGTGGAAGCCCAGGAAGGCTCACAATTAGACCTTGAGTAGGAGAGCTGTCAATATATTTCACATCTAGCAACCCTTTGGTTTCAGATCGTAGATGGGTAGGCGAGTCTAAAAAGCCCAGGAC